ACATAGTAACTTGACTGAGAGAAATTTTCAAACTTAAGGCAAAACTTGAGGAAACAGACTTCCAAAGAATAAATTTGTGTAAGAATGGAAGTTTGGCTTCTAATAAGTGATACAGGCTATTGCAATGAAGGGATGGTAGAATTGTAAATATGCAGGACAGGCCACAACATAAAATATACTGTGTTTCCTTTGGCCACTGCACAAGATTTTGTGGAACTTCTATCTTCTTTGCAAGTATTTTTATTTCTTTAGTTAAATTATCTTGTTCATGTGGAAATAATTATCTGGCGGCTTTGGACCAATTTTACAGCAAAAACACTCAAGATCAGTAATACTCGCAGCTGTAGACTATGAAACTATCAGAAATGTTTTTAAAATTATACTAATTCCATAACATTCAGAGAAAGTTACTTTTTAATGTGTCTTTTTCCGTGGCAGCAAAAGTTGGCATAGTCCTCAAAATTCCATTAAGTTTTAAGCACTCAAATAGATGACGATTTATAAATCTATATGTTTTTCATTTCCCTCTATATTAAATATTTCACTGTATTGGAAAAAAGTTATATGGTTGTCCTGTTCAATTATCACTAGGAAAAAGACATTTCCAGTTAACACATAGTGATTTCAGATGCCTCTAATTGCGAAGCAAATCTGCTCCAATAATGATCTCCGTCTTAATACCTGCATTCCAGCTGCAAAAACAGAATCGTTAGTTACATGCCTGTCGGATTAGAGTTGTTAGAATGCTGTACCATTTCTAACTCCTTAAAAAGCTAGGGAACTAGAAGAGTTTAAATATTTTCTAGAGCCACTTATGGTTGTCTTTAACTGATATATAGAGCTTTTCTTATCCGGTAGCTGATGCTGATATGTATTAGAAAAGTTCCAGGAATGATATAAAATACGTATCTCGTCAATACTTAGCCCTTCAAAACATTACAATTCCTCTACGAAGCAACTCATTCTTCTCGGCGCTTTAGACTGGATTTTTGTCAAGTCTTCGTTTTAATGCTATTAAACGTTCTTGTTACATTGTACTGGATCACACTGACATCTTCAATAGAACGATTTTTTTAAGGCCTGTTTAATTCGAGGAAATATGAGAAAATTACAAGGGAAAAGATCGAGAACACAGAGGATATTAATTTATTGGTTAGTTAAATATCCTGTGATGATGGCGGTTGTATATCTTGGAGTGTTGTCATGAAGCATATAAATGTTTTTTGCCCCCCGTAAAAATGTTTTCATCCTTCTAATGAGCTGTACTAACAATTTCATTAATTTCAATTAATTCATACTTGTAACTATCCGTGCAGGTATAAATTCTGTATGAAGAACTCTTACAGAATAAAACAAGTCATAAAAAGTGATTAGCGTGTATTTATTTTTGGAAGGCGTTCGAATTTTGTTCTTTGAAGAAGACAAAGGTTTTTCGATATTAATTTTGTTTCAAAATCGTATTGCAAATACCAGTTCTTATACCGTGTTGAACAGAGAGGAAAAAAATACTTGCAATGCTGAATTTTGTCGAATATTGTTCATTAGCCAAAAACATGAAAAGTGAACCTTAAAAAAAAATTCTCTTCTTTAAATCTTCAATTACTATCTTGCAAACAAAGAAAATAAAAATACCTAGCACTTGAGAGGAAATTCTTACCTTTAATTGCCAATCGCTTTTTATTTATTGTGAAATCTTCTCAATATTACTATCATTATTAGAAGTCGAAGGTCATCCAAGTCGGTCGTTTTCTTTTATTGATACTCCTTTTTTAAAAAATTGCACCATTCGAAGGTTCTTGATTTCGGCACTGACTATTCATTATAAATGATATTCAATATTTTTACCTTTTTTGAGGTGGTCTTTGCTCTTATTTTAAGTCAAGGAAAAGGAGAAAATTATGCAGATTATCTCCTTTTCCTTTTTTGGACAGGTCAATTAAATTTTACTTCGATTTCGTAAATAAAAAATGCTGAAAATCGGCGTGATATTTATGCCAAATTAAATTATCAATCCCAAATGCTGGTCCAGATTCTCCATCAAACAGTTAAATAAGTAACTATTTACATTTTTATTTTATATAAACATACTTGAAATTTTTCAAACACACCTTTATAACAGCGATGAAAAAGTTTTCTACGATTTCTGAAGATTTAAAGTTTGTAATTTACAATACTGAAAGAATCGTATTTAGTTTCTATAGGCAAAGGAATGATTCATTTTTGCAAAGATGCTATAAATTTATGCCGCAACAGATATTCTTATTTTAAATATTTTTTCAACTTTAGATTACTTTTCGCCCAGTTTTAAATTAATGCTGCAATCTGAGCTAACAACCCTTCTTACAGTGGTATAAATTTGAAATCAAGTTTTCTTTGGATTTCAAGAACGAACTGATATAGATACGTAACTATCAAGAAGTAAATACTTTCATTTATTTATAATTTCCACCAATGTAAGTCTTTTTCGCTTCAGCTTCTCAAGTAAACGAGTGTTAGAACGCATTAGTATGTAGGCCACACAATTTGTATTTACGCAACACAATTAGCATAAATTTGTTGCGTTTTAAGGGACGGGGGAGTATTCTTACAAAATTACAACACAAAAGTAAAAAGGCGCTAGTTTGTGAACGATTACAAACAGCTATCTAAAGCAGCTAACAGTTACGAGTATAATGGTTTGGTCGAGCAGATACTGTGAATAGTTATGCTTACTGATTATGCCAAAGCACACAACTGCTAGCTGCTTAAAGGGAGGGATGCTTTCGAGGAGTACTTTCTAAGGGGAACTCGATCGTATACACATTACACATGTAAAAAAAGCGAAAACGCTCATGTAGCTAGCCCGTTCGACATGATTTGAATTCCAGATAGCTTTGGCTATATATCGATGGGATACCAAAGACAAAATAGAAAAAATAGTCCCTTCGGTCAAACTAAGGCCATCTCGATCCAGATGGCATTGGTAAGGGGAATTTCGTCCTTGGTCGTGACAGGACGCGTTAATGAACCCCAGATTTGCTTTAGTTGGTTGAATGTCTGTATGTTTAATTTAATCTTGATTTTTTTGGGGGGGAGGGGTATTACGTTGTAGAGACATTAGGTAATTTTTGGAGAAGCCGGAGAGATGAAAAATTAACTACGCCTTCGCCGGGAATCGAACCACGGACCTCTGGAATACGGGCACAGCGGGTAGAACCACTACATCAGGAAGGCACGCTAGGAAAGCGGGAGAAATAACTTATAACGCCTTTAAACTGTTGTGATGTTATGCGGAGGAAGTTATCATAACAGCCCTAAAGTGTCAGTATACAGATTTCCTAAACAACCAGATTTGAATTTATACCAATTAAGTTAAAACTGATACCATGAAAAACTTTTACTAGTTCTAGGATAAGCTAAGCCTAATTTGAAATTTAAATTTATTAAAGTATTTGCTTCTGTATCTAAAAGAATGGATATATTAATATTACTGTACTTCATTTCTATAGTATACATTACATATAATATTGCATTAAATAATCATGTATCAGTTAGTATAATTATGTGTCTAATGCGATGATTGCTAAATATTCACTTACTTTTTTAAATCTTCAATTTTTGACGTTCTGATTAATTTTATAGCTTGAAACTTTTAAGTTCATGTGTGTATAGAAAAAAATGGAAGTATTTAATGTAATACATTTTATTACTGGAATTTTTTATAAAGTAACTGTAAAGACAATAAAGATGCTCATGGTCTTTTAAAATAATAATATAAAGTGCATAATTTTACATAAATTAAGAAATAAATTCGGTTCCATATACCCTTCCTGTATATCTGTTATTCAGTTAAGTGACTTGAATATTATTAGTATGCGGGTGATATTCTAAATTTTTGTTATTTATTTCAAGTCTATCATCACTTCAAAGCGGTTTTTTAATTGTAAATATAAAACAGCGTACAAAAGTTGATAATTTATATATATTTTTGTATATAATAATTTATATATATTAGTATATTTGTGAATATATTTCCATATAATCCGCGAATGAATGGAAATGTATATTTTCATATCTTTTCCCTCTGTCTGTATATATAATATATCATAATTATTCCTAAACAGTATTGATTAATTGATTATATTATCTCCTAAGTTTAATTAAAGTAGAATTATTTTAAAATGTGCCATACTGGTAAGTTATTTGAAAGATGTTTTGAAGTAATTTGAAAGCAAAATGTTAATAATGTTTAACGGGGACTGGAGTTAAATCATCACGAAGAATAATATTTCAATTGTAAAAGGAAAAATTAAAACAGTAATCATTGTCATTGATCGGAAATTAGTTGACTTTTCAAGGGGAACAAACCAACTCCCGTTCATGAACATAATTGATAAAAATACGTAAATACGAAAGTGTTTCGTCTTTACTCGAGTTATAAGTTAAAGCAAACCGGCAATTCTAGTCAGGCCAAATATTTCCGCGAATAGTAGGAATTATGAACCAATGCTGATACTCAAAGAACTTATTTCATGAAGCATTTTAGTCAATTCAATTTGGAGTAAAAATCAATTACTGTAGAGAAATTCTGTAAAACTCGAGTAACCGTCCCCGACCTTCATCTTTATGCATTTGAGTACTATATTTTGTAGAAATTAAACATTGGAAATTGTCATTATGAAATCGAATTCAAAGTAAAGTTGAAATAAACATAGAAGATTATAAAAAAGATAAATAATGCAAACTTTGTAAAAACAAATCAAAGAAATAAAAAATAATATAAAAATAATATAGAAAATATATAAATAAGATCAGTGAATGTACATGAAGATATAAAGGCCAGAAAGGTATTAAGTAACTTACATTCTTTCTAGTGGGGGAGTTGGCAAAGTGTTCTCTTCGTGTCTGACTCAGATATATATATATATGTATGTATGTAAAGGAAAATAATGTACATATATATCGTTAAAAGAAACCATTCTGTTAGTAAAGTTTTAAAAACACATATGCTTTTATTGCAGGTCTGTGGGTGAGCAACGGCGATTGTCAACTCTCCAGTCTGTAACTTCACGATCCGGAGTTGGTCTTCTGTTTAAGAAGGTATTGGCACTTTACCACTTTGCCACTGATGAGCGACACTGGAAATAACCTAATAATCTATCTCTGTGTAGAGGAATTCAAATTCAACTTTCTGATTCATCTGCAGGCTAGAAATTTACAATGAACAGAAGAGCAACGAAAGAAAACTCAAAGCGACGAGAAATTCTCTGACGCACGAAAAAAGTCAGTCCCAAGTCACAGTTCACAATTACCACTACTTCACGCTCACGTAACTAAAACTTTCACTGAATTTCAGGATTGGAGGAATTATCTGACGCAAGTCGAAAAAACACGAAAACTTTTAATAACTCGATATCGTTAGAAGTGTCAGAAAATTAATGTAATTACAAAGACATCCCCCCCCCCAAAAAAAGAACTTTATCCTTAAAGCAGAATGTTGGATATTTTTTGGTTCTCTGGTCGGAACATTTGTTTTCAGCAACTACAGGCAAGATTTTTAAACAACGCCTTGATGTTAAAATTTGGTCTTTTAAAACCTATTTATGCGTAAATTCTCTTAATTTCCCGATTAACGTGATATCATTATTATTTTCAAATTTAAATTGATTTATGATTTTATTTTCGATTCGTAGTCAGCAAAGTACGTATAAGAGCTGTGGCTCATGCATGATGTTTTTTCTTACGATGAAAGTAAAACAATAAATTAGTTATATTTATGTATAAATATACAACCACTAAAAGGTAGAATATATTTTTAAAAAAAGATATAATATAAGGGGTCTTCTTACCTGAAAGAACATCAAAAAGGTCAGTTCTTAATCAAAAAAAAATAATAAGTTAAAAAATAAACGAAATACAACACACACCATTAATTTCGGCAAAATAAATAGAATTCAAAATGCTCTCCAAAACTGGGTAATATATAACCTGCAACATACATGTATTAACGAAAAAGTTATTTCCATGTATATTAAAATATACATGGAAAAAAAAGGTTAAGAAACCAAAGTACGAAAATTCAAATGGAAAAGTCAAATATTCATTGGCATATAATTCCTTCTTCAGGTAATAGCACTGCAACCTAATGAAAAAAGATCAGTGAAGACTGTGTTGTTCTATGCTCCCTCTGAGGTTGTCAGCTGAGAAGTTTCCGAAGACTCAAAATGGATGCTGCGTCATATGCACACGCAAAAATATTTTTCTCTTGAATTTTCATAAAATATTTTAGATGTTTGTTTGCAGATTCTTATACCTAACAGCAGAAAATAATTCTGCGTTGATTTTTTTTCTCTTTTTTCAACTTCAAACTCATATTTGTCATTAACAGTAGCTTTATGTAGTTCAGGTGTACTCTTACAGCCAAAACATATTTGTGCCATTTTAACTTTACTTCCAAACATGAATATTTTGACACGCAATAACTGAGATGGTTCAGATGTTCATGCTTTCTTTGCAAAGATAAATTTACATTTAAGATAAGTTTAAATTTACTTTAAGATCCCCTTGATTCTTGTTTCTTTTTATCAATGACACACACAATTTTGTTCCATAATATGCTTTTTCTTCAGATGAATGTTTCCATTACACATACTTGCTTTCGATCGTCTAGGTTTGCATTGCCTGATGCTATACACTTTTATTTTGGTTTTACTGGGTCTGAGGCAGAAATCAAAGAATGATCAATTCGTTTTAATTTTTTTCCTTTCATTTTGCTACTTTACTCTTAACTTTTACTGAGCTTTCAGAATACCTAGTGTTTCATATTCACAATTTTATGTTTAACTTGGATTGTAATTTCTCTTAGCCATACGGTTTTTTTAAAGGTGGAACTGTTTTGTAAAGGTGAAGCATATTAGGGTTATCTGTCCAAGAGGAAGTATGCCTTCATAGAAGACTTCCTAAGGGAAATTGGCTCATATTCCCATTTCATATAAAAACATCTGCTAACACACCATGCAGACAGCCCGTTCGTCCAGTTTCGAATCAGGATCGATTCAGTTTCTATTTTATCATGCAGACACCAGACGATATCTATCTAACGGAAAGATTTTTTAATGTAAACAGGCTCACATTCATATTTATACGTGGAGAAAACCACGCAAACTCTAATGCAGCTAATGCAGCATCGTTCGTCAGGATTCGAACCCAGATCGTAATATCATTGCTCAGCGGTCGTATTCATTCGGCCATTGGTGAGCCACGATCAAATGGGATGACAAGGCAATTCTTTTTTCATAATTCTTTTCGCATTTTGTATATACTTTACTCATCTTGAAATATTTATATTTAAAGAATTTAAATTTAGAATAAAAATAAATTGCTCTTGATCGATATCGTTGTAGGGCAGACAGAACACAGATAATGTCAAAAATGCAATAATTGAGCTTGATTTAGATTTGCTTTTTCGTTAATACTTTGCTTTTATAACAGACCACGGAATTTGAGGGATATGAAGAATGAATCCCCTAAAGTTAATGCATGCCGATAATTAAATGAGACTATAACATTTTTATAGTATCAAATTATCTTAAAGCAATTAAACAAGGCTACTTTTTAACATCTAAAAAGTTATCTCAGCTTAAGTCTATATCAGGCCTTCGCAAATTAAGCTAAGTTCAAGACGCATTTCTGCCTCTTACTATGGAAATTTAACGCATAATTGCCTTTTTCTTTCGGTAAGGCTTTCGGTTCCGTAAGCCTTTTTCTTTCGAACAAGGCTTACGGAACAAGCAGCTAAGTCCCAGTGTTCCAGATCTTCAGGCGTAATGGTCTTTGTATCATTAGGTGAAGCCCCCAGAAGACTATATTTCCAAGAAATTTGAAGTAGAAATACTAAATTATTCTATAAATGACCTTGATAAATATTTTTAACAAAATACTTCACGCATATTAAACCGTAAATCTGTAACAGACAGTGCAATAGAAAAGGGTGTCTGTTATTTTAAATCTTCAGCCGGCGTTCCCGATCTATCGCGTGTGGAATGTGAGGTCATTGCTTTCACATCCATAAAAGAAACGATGCAAATTCGGAAATTTATAGCCACTTTCATGCTTTTTGAAGTTCAAGTTGAACATCACGGGCTTTGTGGCTTATATTACAATGGAAACGTTTTTACTTTTTTCTTCCTTTGACAAATATATTACAGTCATCTTATAGGTTTAATAACCTTTTATTTCGAACAGACAGTATAAAAATATAAAAGATTCTGCATAGCCCAATTATTCTTTTTACTTACTTTTTTGTTTGCGAGCGTTTTGTTTTCTCAAAAGTACAACAGACATTAAGTACTTGAAAATAGCGCTCATTAAGAAAGTGTTTCTTACGAGATGTTAAAAAAAAATTAAAACACTAATGTCTTAACACTGTTTTCTTTCAGAATATATGGGCAATGTTATATAAATTAAGTATTTCTATTTACATATGTGGTTCTGATGTACTGCAAAACGAAATGCAATGGATTTTTGACTCAATACATCTGATGATCTGTAAAAAATCTGTCAAGGAACTGTTAAAGATGAAATGAGAGTTAGATAGCGAAGAGCATTTGTTAAAATTAACGGGGGGCGTGATCTATCCTACGTAGCTAAAATTTTAGTTAGCTAATTGATTGGGGCAAAGCACACGAAAGTTCTCTGATTAAAAGAGGAGATATTCGTGGATGAATTTTCAAGAGAAGCTGACTTTTATTTGCATTACAGATGAAAAAATAACACTCACTCACTTTTTCACTCAGCATTGATAACAAATTTAGTCAAAAAAATTTATGTTTTTCTGTGGGCCCTTTTTAATTAAGTGAGGCTAAGTGTTTAAACAGAGACTTCTCGTGATTGGTTCTCTACCATAAAAAAACTCATTAGAAGTTCTTTATCTCCACTGTTGGAAAAATTTGAGGAGGAATTCTTACAAGATGTAACAGCCACCTGTGACGAAAAATAAATACTCTGGGAGAACATTAATCGATCTTCTGAATTTATTATCATAGGGAAACGATCGAAAAACAAAACCTTCATCTCAATAACGTTCTGTTTTCTTTTATTGGACAATAGCGTTTGAAACCAGGTCATGTGTATGAGCTGTTAGACCACACTCAGATCATCACTTCCTCTCTCTGTATAATCTTAACAACAATCTACATAAGTGCATTTTTCTTTGCTGCGAAAATAAAATATTAATATTAAAAACATTAAAATGCATCAAATAACCGATATATCTGCTTTGGTAAGTCTATTATCTTAAATAAGCAGCTTCAAATAAGAGTACCATAATTATTCTGATTAAACCTGCTTATTCTCGTACGCTCAAATAAATCATGGTTCATGATCAAAGTAAAACAAGTTAAAAGTTCAACTATATAAAGAGAAGACTAACTGTAATATTTAGAGGTTTTCCATCCAGATTTACTCTAAAGATTACCGACATTTATTCTAAAGAATTTATAAATAACAGTTATAAATGCTGAAAAGAATTTTACAATTTAAAACATACCTTTCCAAAATATTGATGGAAAAGTTCTCATCTCTGAATTAGAGAATAGAATGAAGGACCGATTTTTAGTTTTGAGCAATTTTAATATTAAAACATCTCTTCTGACTACGTTTTAGGAATTATCTTCAGGAACAGAAAAATAACATTTATGCATGTGCATACTGTAAAAATCTGAAATATTACCAACGTTTCTGACTACTTCGTAACCATTTTACAAAAAATATATATCTTAATTAAATACGAAAGCATAATTTCGCATTTTTCTGACGTAGTATATAAGGAAGATATTCAATAATATATGAAAAGCGTCATTTCAAACTGACTTGAAACAAAGTTCAATTGCGCAGCTTAGATAACTGTCTCTTTTGCACTGACACTTAACTTACTTTATCTCAATTTTGCACGTCTTCCCTTTTGTATTGAAGCTTCACTCGCTCAACACTTGACACGGTTTGAATTATTTACCTATATATTATAACGTATAGATTACTTTTACATTTATAGATTATAAAATTTTATATTTTATTTATTTATAGTTTACAGTTTATAAATGATATTCGTAATACTAGTTAATTTTTGTTATTTTATATCTTATAACGTTGCGCGCCTCTAACTAGCACGCAACCAAGAGGTGACTGTGAAAGCTTGTATAAACCACAGAGTCTTATAAAGGGTTTAAGTCCCTTTTTATTCAACGTACTAATTTACAATTGCGTTCTCTTGACGCTTACAAACGGTGCCAACTCGGCAGTCAAAATAAAAATAAAAACCTGAAAAGAAATTAAAGATAATATTCTAACTACGAGGCTCTCTCAAATAACTAACTCACCGCGTTTTACAATACGGCTGCTAATTCAGCAGACTTGAAGCTCACTGGAACAATTGCAAACTACTTCCCGCCAAGCACATAGGCCGCAACGCGGGGTTTTTTTCAAATCTCTATAACTAACTACCCTCCCGCGCTCGCTAAGTAAGAATAACTCTCTCTCACCGAACTTGTTTCCCTTCTATTTAAATCATACTACTTCCGCTGATATTTGAATGCTTGCGCGTTTCTACTCAATTTAATTTACTATTCTGGCATTGGCAGTTCCAGGGGAAAGTAAGGATTGACAGGAAAGATAGTTTAAACTTAAAATAAATGTTAGTTAAAATAAATATAAACCCTACAATCTTCTATTTTTATTTATAAATTACACCTTTGCCAGATATCCAAAGATTATGACAATTGTTTCCTTTTTTAAATCATTATATACTAATTCCCTGTTTATTTTTGATAGTTATTACACATTACTTTTATAATGCTAATCAGCTTACGAATAGCAATATGTAAGTGTACTTGCAAATTCAAACGGTCAATTCAAATAATAACGAGTTATCGTCCTTCACGCTTTTATTTCTTTCTGGAGGAGAAAAATTTGAAAAAATTGATAGTGTTCTCGTCTGGAATCGAGCCCCAGACCTTTCAGTTGCTATTTAGATGTGCTGATCGAGGACGCATGAAAGGAATGCTTAGAATTCCTTACAGTTTGATTATGACGAAATATACGAGGGTTACCCGCTGCTTTTACAGCAAAACTCTTAAAGAAAACTGCCTCGTGTTCGCATAGGGAAAGTCATGAGTATTTCGTTCTGAACAGCCTGTATCATTTATCATTTGACCATTGATTGAAGAGATTCTTCTGATGGAAAATGGTTTGTCCATGCTTTAGAACACTAGAGCGAGATGTCTGTACACAGAACCATTGTTATACCCGCTCACTGCTTCTGTCGTAATTTGCGTAATCTATAAAACACATTATTAATACATTTATTAAACATACTCAGTTCGATGTCTTAAGATTTTACGCTATACGTTAAGTCAAATGTTAAATCAGGTCAAAATTTATACATAATGTATATTCTAATGTATTCCTCCCTTCTCTTAGACATAGAAATATATAATATGTTGTTCGAGGTTTGCGCATATTTTGTGAAGTTACAAAAAATTGAGATATTTCACCTGCTAAAAATATTAATAAAAAAGTAGGAAGAATCTAACACGAACTAAAAGAGTAAACGGGGGAGGGCAGTAGACGTACCTTGATTGGCCTCTATTTAGGCTTGCTCTTGCTTCTCATTGTCCTCTATTCTACAGAGACAAACTGGGTGATGAAGACATTGCGGGGCAATGTGTTAGAATTCCGGATTGTTATCTTGCACTTCCTGACATGTCTCTAAATTTATTACTTTTTTAAACGAGAAAGAAAAAAACTGATGAGTTGGGTACATCACTTCCTTTATTCGAATTTATTAGTGTAGAAACGTATTTTGTCAGAATGCTTCGCCACCGCAACTTAATTAAGTAATTACTGCAAGACAGCATCGTACCGGCAGTTAACACCTGAAGCAAATCTCAAAATAGAGTTCTCTTAATGTATTTTTGTCACTTTTAACATAATACTTAATTTATTGTTGTTTAATCTTAAGCTTTTTTTTTTTATTTATTCATTTGTTTATTTATTTTTCATTTTCGTTTGCTTGTTTATTTGAAAAAGTGTGTCATTTGCTTTACCCTCGGTACGACTAATATTGTAAACCGTGCCGAGGGTCCATCATTAAAATTGAGAGATGAGATGGAATCATCAAATATCTCATCTCTCAGCTTTGCCTATCATCATAAGTTGAGAGACTGGATTATTTGCCTAATCATTAGGTTGTCAAAGTTGAGATATGGTACAAAGGGTGATATCAAGAATATTTTTATTAGCAGTGCTTAGGCTAGAACTAAATATCATGTTACTATATTTTAAATTAACAGAATAGAATGCAGAAGAACGATTACACGAACTTTTAGTCATCCAAGGCATGTCTGTAAGTGCAATAATACACGACTTTTCCAATAATTCTTTAAAATTCTTCATACTCTTCCAAGAAAATAAATATTTCATCCAAGATTTTATTCGAATTGACTAATCTGTACAGAACGTTTGATATCAAACAGCGTGAAGACAGTGCTCCTGTTGATAATTTCATACTGAGGCGTATACGAAGCGTTACGGAGAAGAAGCGCGTGGGTGAGGGGCATGCCGTAAAATAGGAATTTCAAAGACTTATTTCTAAGAAAATTCAGGAATATAGAATACATAACTAATTTTTTTATTAGGTCTATTAAAATGTCTGCATAAAGAATAAAGGACGAATCAAGTCTCGATTTAATTTTCAGAATGATTCTTGGAGGATTTTTATGCGGAGAAATCTGTGGACTTGATACCGAGCAAAAGATACCATAGAAAGAGACACATTACAGATAAGATAACTTGCTATTGCGGGCAGGAATAACAATGAACGCCTTCAATGACATTAAAGTTTCTACTGGTAATTCAATAAAATTTCACAGTATCGGTATATGAAACGTACACATTGTTATTCATCCATTTACTGTTGAAATGGATGCGATATTTATGCACGATTACACTAAGCTCACTTGGTACAGAGTTACATGAAGAGCAAAACAGCTCTGCGTACGCAGAGACCTCCAAGATACTTAGACTTGAGCATGCATAAAACTTTTTGATAAGAAATATTGCAGATCACAATGCCTACCAAATACCTTTCAAGAGCTTCTACATGCCTTTCTACAAGAATGAGCATTATTGCCATAACAAGTAATAAAAAAAGCTCTATTGGAAGCATGAATTGCTGATGACGAGTGAGCATTTCTTCTAGAGAGTGTAATACACGCCTTCAGATAAATGTTCTCATAAAAAGTTCTTGAATTCTAGCTTTGGCTGCCAAAATGTCGTAATGTTTTTTTTTTTTTTTTCATTTTTTCATTTTCTTGTTATATTTTTGGTATGTGGCACAGTTGCTGTCTAGAGAAAATGACTTTATAAACTTTCCCCAAATCCATAAAAAGGGTTTGTTTTAAAAAAGAATAGTTTATTTTTTCTTATACTTCAAGCAAGATTGCGTTTGGAGATGAATATAAGCGAGTAACTGGTAGTGATGATTTGCTGAGAAAATGGAAGTGGATTTCCACATATCGAATCCTGTCTTGCCTATCTCTGTTTTTATTTATACACAAGTACATATTCGATGTGTTCATAGGTCTTCAGGCCATCAAAAGAGAGAGATATAGTCGCTATATCTGTGTCAATGTTCGCAGCAAACTTTTCTATGAATAGATTCGCACATATTTCAATTGAAACCGAAAATGCACTATAGAAAACTCGCACAGCTTGGCAGTACACAGAATCAATCTTGTATAACACAGAAGCCAATGAAGAGCGATAAATTACGGAACTACACTTCGATTATTATATTACTGTAACATTTGTTTGTTGAGCCAAAGTATCTGACCGTATTGAATTTTAATGGTTTCTGATTTTCGGATCAGTTATACACGTATACACATGCAAATTACGGGTACAGATGAAAAGAGAGATGCATTTTAATGTATAGCTGCGAATCACGAATTTGCACTTGTGTG